AGTATGTGTTACGCATAATATAAGGGTGAACAAATAAACAGATTCCCCTTATAAGAAAAATGAATGCTGAAATCTCATAAATCCCTAATATGGAATTTATTTCCAACATCTACATTTGGTTAAAAAAAAACGAACGTTAGGAATTTTTTTTTTTAATTTTTGAGTCTTCTACCAAATTGTAATGTTATTCGGCAACGCAAATTATTGCCAACAAACATCTTGCATTAATGAGATGAAAGCTAATAAATCAAACTACAAAGATATAAGACTGCATGGGAAAGAGAAAAACGAACCTCAAATCAAATTTATATCCATTAAGCAGGTACGGAGTTTCAATATAGCGAGAAACCAACATGGTAGATCCGAGTGGTATGTCTCGGGGCTAAAAATTTTGGAGTTTCATATGATTAAAGAAGATTAATTTACATGAAATTATTTCTGGAATAAAAAAGACTTAGTGCATCGGTGCCATAGAAACAAAGAGCGTCAAAACGACTATATAATTACTGATCTTACTTAAACTCATTAGAGTTTTAAGTTTTAAAACTGCCAAATATAAAACATACACTCTGAGCAATAAAGATGCCATTTCCCCGAGAAGAAGCCACAGGTTTCACAATGAAAGGTTTTAAGCCATGGGTTTGGGCATTGAAATGATCTTCCAATTTTTTATACTCTTTAGGGGTAACGAAAAATTCCGGGATCTAAAATGGATTTTAAAATAAACAAATGATCAAGAGATCAAAAAATGTACGAGAAGAACTGCAAATAAATAAAAAATAATATCAAACTAAATAATTTTTAAATGTTGTAGCAATGAAACGAAATGTGCACTAAAAATTAAACCAACTATATTATAAGAAATTCCGAACAAAATCTGAGCCCGTCTTAAGCACTCATATAATTTGTCTTTTCTTGTCAACAAAAAGCTTCGTGGAAAGTGGTTGACACGTTGCCTACAAATGAAGAAATTACAAATTTTTAAGATAAATAAAATAGCACAACATGACAGTTTCTGTCTGATATGTTGTGAACGACAACCAACGTTCTGATAAATTTTAATCTTTATGCGTATTTTTTGCAGAAGGCAAACATTTTTAAAACTTTTATATGAATAAACAGAAAACTATTTATATTGCTTATGATGAACAAATTTGGAGAGGTATAAAAGTAAAGACGATTTCCAGAACTGTAATTACCATGGAGCTAAGGAGCGTAAAATATGCGGCTTTAAATGAGAGGATGTCCAAATGATGTTGCAATTTGTGTTTCTTGAAGAGCACTAAAACTCGCATTGTAATTGATTGAAAGCATTCAGGAGAAAGAAATGTTAAAATATTAAGTTATTTAAACGATTTCATATATGAAATAAACTGTAATACCTGTTGAAATCCATAACTGTGCAGTATTATCCTAATCAGCGTTTGGCTGCATCTGATCATCTTGAAACATAAATGATACTTTTCACCAATTTTTATATATTTGTTGCTATTCTCCAATTCTTTTCCACCTTTGCCAGCATACTTTAGTGCAGCCGATGTAAACACTAATGGCTATAATGTTTATACATAAATAAAAGATTTGTTATGAAAATGGTAAAAAAATAGCATCACTACAAAACAGACTGACTTGTAAGGATAACATAGCGAGTTTCTTGCTATCCCAAATAGCTTCTAATAAAATGGAAATTTTTTCCGCAAACAACTCTAAGGAACAAAATCAAAGTTTATATATAATAAAATGATCATAGTTAATACTGTATACCATAAGAAGTTTTACTTTTGAACTTAAAGAGCTTCTATCTGAAGTTTTGATAGCTTGGACACCAATTTTTACATATTTGTTGATGTTTTCTAATTTTTTTCCATCTTTGCCAGCATACTTTAGTGAAGTCGACGTAAACAACAAGGGCTATAGTGTATATACAAAGAAATGAAAGATTTACTATGAAAATAATAGAGAAATATCATAACAAATAGAGATAACAACTTTCTTGCTATCAAAAAAGTTGTAATAATATAGGAATTTTTTCCGAAAACAACTCATAAAAACAAAGTCAAAGCCTGAATTAAAAAAAATGACGACAGATATTACTGTAACATCATAATAGACATTACTGTACAACTTAAAGTGCTTTATATCTAAAGCTTTGATAGCTCAGACTCGTAGCATCGCTGCCTGATTTTAATAGATTTTCACACTTACTTGTGTTTGCGCGACGTCGATGTCACTATTGTTTTCACCGATTTCCATTTTTTGTGAAATTTCCAAATTTTCGGACATTATCCTAACGCAATAACTTCAGTTAAAATAGAGAAAACTTCATTAAACGTTTTCAGAACGACGCCAATTGCTGCAAACAATAATAATAATCATTAGCAGTTCGAATACAAAATCTTCAAGGTTTAAAGAGCAAAGATGTTTATGCCAAAAACAACTATTTGGCAGTACTTTTTTGTAAAGCGGGTACACCAATTTCGTTACTCGTTCTTCCTAAAAAATTTTCACTCCAATTCAAGTTAAATAAAGTAATACTTTTTTGACAGATATTCAGAATAAGTATGAATTAAAACAGCGTTTCTTCAGTGAGGGAAAAACTTTACTCACGCAGTAATAAGTTTGGATCACGTTGTTACTAGCTTATGTACAAGCAGACAAGAACTGTCCAGCAGCTAAAGTTAATGACGAACATAGCCGAGATTTATGACTGTATATGGAGCAGAAATCAGTAGATTATTTAATGTGTAGTCTCATTATCGTTGCCTTCGATGAAGCGTGTAATTAGCGATTATGATAGTTGTATGTGAAGTTCCCTAAACTATTTCTCGATCAGCTCGTGTGATTGCTACTGATCGTTTTTTATAATGAAATCTGTTTACTGGGCGCCAGTCAATATTCAAAAGTAAATAAAATGAATCCTATAATTTTCCCATACAACCAATTTGATTTCTTTACTTTCACACAGTCTCGCCTGTGCAAACTCTCTGCTACTTTGAGTGTACAATTTAAAAGCCTTCTTCTGTTTCATGCGTTGTTTTAAAGTAGTCAGAAATAGCATTATGTATGAATCGTAAAGATGGCTTCTGAATCTGCGTAGTAAATACTGTACGCACTGCTTTTTTCATTTATTATTTGACGCCTTGATTTGTGAGAAAAGAATGGATTACATCCTTGTCAATAAGTAGTCAAACATGAAAATGAATGTCTTAATTTAATCTAAGTAATTTAGAGTGGAATATCTGATTCCATTTTTTATTCAACTCTCACAAGATTTGGTTGTTTGATTGATTGATTGAACTAACAGTTTTCCAGTGCAGTGAAAATCGTTACAAACAATGTGTAACGATAAGAAGGAACATTAAATGTATTTCAAAGATTAGCAATTCGGTAACTTTTTTTTTATTACAGAATTTTGTAAACTTCCATTCATATGTGTTAATGTTTCAGTTAATAAAGTTAGTTAGGAAGTGAGTTCCAATATTTTTTGTCAAAATCCGCTCTTCCATGTCTTTGACTTCCAGGAAAGTCATCTGCAGGTAGTATGTTCTATTTGTCCTTACAGTGATTATCTTACATTAACTGTGCTGCAACTGTTCAATTTGTAATATATTTTGGCTTTATTTTGTAAGTGATTATGTAGTATTTCTGGAAGCATTTCAGTCTTTATATAGTCATAAAAAACATGAGAATTTTAAGAGCAAAATTTCATGCACAGATCAAAGAGATTGTCTTACTTTTGATCTCACAAATTCACTTAAGACTTAGAAACCTTAACAAGCCTAGACATTGTTCTCTTAGGACAAGGACAATAAGCTGCATCTTTTCCTGGAACTCCTGGTGTTCCGGGAGGTCCTGGTGGTCCCTGCGAACCAGGTTGACCGTTATTGCCGAGCTGCAAATTTATACTGTTAATAAAGATCATGTCCTGTGAAGGTATAGTAAAGAATACAGGATTTGATCGTGGATAGAATAGTCTCAAGTCAAGCAAATATTACCTCTCCTTGCGGTCCTTGGTTGCCAGGAGTTCCTGGTTGTCCTGGAGTACCTGGTGGTCCAGGTTGTCCTCTTTGACCCGGTTGTCCAATTGGACCTGGAGGTCCACGAGGTCCTTTACGTCCAACGACTCCGTTATTACCTGGTGGACCTGGTTGACCTGGCTTACCATCCTGTCCAGGTTGGCCTAAAGTGAGAGTTTCTTTTCTTCATTATAATAGTTTTAAAGATCTACAATTATTTGTTAGAGAGGAGAAAAAGCTTCCTTGCATTAGGACAGGAAATATCGGTTATTATTTTTACCTTGCGGTCCAGGAGGTCCTGCAGGCCCTCTGTTCCCTGGACGAGCATCTTGCCCTGGTAGGCCTGTGGGTCCTTTTTCACCCGGTGGTCCTATTGGTCCCCGTGGTCCTGGCTGTCCAACTGGTCCTGGAGGACATTGCTTGCAGCCAGTTATTGGTGGGAAATCCATTGGTGGTACTATTCCTGGTACTCCTGGTTCACCTGGAGTTAGTGATAAAATCAGTGTTCATTCGTTCTTATGAAGTATTATTTTAAAATAATTTTTGGAAGTTTCAAGACATTTAATTCACTTATTGTGCCAAAGGAAGGGCATCATTCTTCAAAGGTACATAATAAAGCACCTCGTTGACCAGGAGCTCCTGGGATTCCAGGTGTTCCTGGCAATCCAGGTTTTCCAGGTGGTCCTGGTGGGCATCTGTCGCCTGTATCACACTGGCAAATCGTTTCTACTTGGCGTTCTTTGCGAGTTCGTGGAATACCGCTACGAGCAACCATCATTTCATCCCATACTTGCTGCTCCAACACCTATAATTATCGTTATCAATATTTATGATTATATATGCAGATCTCAGTTAGTCAATTAAGGAAATCATGCAGACTGCTAATTTCTGGCACTAATTTGCTACTAACTTCTTTTTAAAAAAAGGCTATAATTTTCAAAAAAATAATGCAGTTAGCGATGACTAACCCGAAATTTATCGAGCTTAACAGCTAAATGGCTCCGGATATTGTCTATCCGATTTGTCAGGTATGGCATGTAGAAAAAACATACTGCAATGGCAGTAACAGATACACAGCTGGACACATGTGCAGCAATTTTCGACATTTTTCGCGAGTAGTTTTACTTTACCTTACTTTTGAGATGATCAAATGTAAACAAAAATGTTTTATATCATTTCAGAAGATGCTGCTACCCGTGCAGTAGGTTACGCCCACGTCAACTTAAATAAAAAAACCGGTTTGTTGGTCGCAGATGTGGAACGGCTGCCGTTTTAGTAGTTTGCAATTTGGAACCAATACCGCTTCCTATACTACAAGTTCAATAGATTCATTAAAAAGCACTATCGATATTGTATACTCCTCTTTTCCTTTAATAATTCGGTCGTTCTATCATTAGTTTGATAAAATAATGAGATTCATGCTCAACTGCTGCATACTTTTCAGATCTAAATATGACATCTCATAGCTGTGTGGAAATCAATCATAGTAATACAGTTAGTCAGTTTGCTTCTTAATTTGATATGAGGCAGCTTTAAATCTGGTGGTGGATAAATTCATTTAGACATGCATTTTGTATTACAGTAGAGACAAACTGTAGTTAATCGTTGTATGCTACAGACTGATCAAAATTTCTATGGATGATTTACGTGACTAGTAGTTCAACCCTTTGTAATCAGTATATTCGCATCTGATTATGCTCGTATTTTTTACAGAATAAATATTATTGGCCAGCTTCTAGAAACACATCGTCATTTTTTCAAATTAAAAGTTCTACAAATTACACCGTACAGTAACTTTATGATATCAATTTATTCACGCTTACTTGTCTACAAAAACAGTCTAATTATTGCTCTATTTCGAGTATTTAAATGTAGGGAAATAAAGGCACAATAATAGTACTTTCTGGTTAAATATGACTCAACAATTTCTGATTTAATAACAGTTATAAAAGCAGAGTAATTTGCAGGTACCATAGGAAATGAAACTGTCCCTAACAAAATATGATAAAGCTGGAACTGCAAAACCACTACGTTTCAAAAGCAAATTATGGAAAACGCACGTAGAGAGACCTTGGCCATCTCTCGTTATGTAAGGATTCCATTTAAAGGATTACCATTACTTAAAATCCGGTCATGAAATCAATTCCATGACCCTTAAGAAACTTCCAGTTCGAGATAATTTTTTAGGTTACATCAGACGACTCCGTATTTTGCAAATGATATGATAAAGACAAATATCAATTTACACGAATTCTTCGATCTAAATCTTAATCAGATAGAAGAAAATTGCTATTAAATAATGAATCAAGTACAACACGACAAGAATACTAAGAATGTTGCAGATTAAAAAATTATGGCCGCATATCAAAGCTAAATCGAAAAACCGTTGCGCCGCATTTCATCCTGTCGTACATTGGCTTCCAACACAGCCTGAAACCATTACTTATTTCATTTCAATAATTTTAAGTAGTCGTACTTCAAAATCATTATATGCATTTATCTTTCCATATCATGATCTGTCATTGTGATTTCAAAATATGTGAAATTGTTCTACAGTTCTAAAATTCAAAAAATTATTGATGCATAGAACTTACAGGTCAAGAAAGAACTATTTTCAGTTATTCATTTTGAAAATTTACTACACAAGTTGCCTAATATTTTTTTCAATCAAAGCGTTCCTAAAATATTCTTCAAACATGCGAATCTAGAATTTATTCACCCATCAAACTAACTAATTTCCTTTAAACTCACTTTCGTGCTTTCTTCATCGATTTGTGTATACTCTGTGGCACACGATCTTTTGGGTCGTTGCGAAGATTTGATAAATGGTGCAGAAGTCAATGATTCTGTTACGGGATCAAGGTAGTCCAGTACGCTGCGTGTCATCTCTATTGATTCAGAAACGTGAAAAGCTTCCTGAATATATTTTGGTAACAATGAAATAACCGTATACAATCATTTTTACCAAATAATCAACCTGATAACAATAGTAATTCCAAACTTTGAAGTAGTTGATCATAAAGGTGCCAAGAAATATTGAGACAGCAACTCACTTGTTTGTTCTGCATTGTTATTGGCAGCAGAGGCGTTTTATATGAAGAATGATTCGAATGAACTTGGGTCGTAAAGTTTTTTTTCTCCCTGAAATGGTGGACATTTTCGAGAGATGAATACGCTTTGACACAAAAAAAAAGTTATTTTGAGCTGAAGTTGAAACAATAGCTCAAAAGATATAAATCTGAGAAGTACTCCTAAACCATAAAATTTTTAACTGTAAAACTTGACTTACCTGTCAGTACTGTAGATTGCTTGACCAACACTCATATCAGTAGGTCGATTGCCACTTGTTCTCACTGGTTTACAAGATCTATCAATCTCAAAAATTATGGAATAATTATTGTGAAATGTGAAAGAGACCTGCAAATGTTTTTTACTGTTCAAAGATTTAAAAGTCTACAATATCTAAAAAGACGAACTAAAGAAAATTACTTCAGGAGGGATGTTGCGATAGTGTCGGCGACGTGGAAGTGGTTTAGGAGCACTCGAGTTCGAGACTGAGGGCTCGAAGGAAGAATCAAGGACAGAAGTTCTCTCAATATCATCCAGAATAATAATATCTCTGTATAAAATTAATAATGATCACACAACTTATTTCGAAGTTATATCTTACAAAGCAGCGAAGAAAAGAAACTCACGGCCGAATTGTCTCATTGCTCCAGTCATCTTTTTCTGTAGTAATAAATCCACCAATAGGAACAGAAAGTGGTTGATCCAAAATAAATCCTCCTATAGCATGTATGTAACTAGTCTTTTTATATTTTTTCGAAGTTAAAAATATATCGAAAATGCAAATAAAGGAATGCAATATCCAACACGTATGAGAAAAATAAGTACCTGGATCCATGTTACGACTTCCATATTTTTTCATATGTGTACCAAGACCCGGCTTTGGCGGTCTAAAGTTAAGTGTGGCAATAATTATGATTTCTGACACAGTAAAAGCCTTAAGACTTTATTCCAGATTTACATGGTTTATAGAAAAAAGTTCAGGGCTTTCAGCTGTTGAATAAACAAAATGAACTCACATTGGAGGAGGAATTAAAAGAGAAGTTTTCGAAGAAATGTTTTCAGATATAGAATGATCTAGATTAGTAGAAGAACTCGTTGTGATACTTGAACTTAAAGATGCTGAGCTGCTTCCTATAAAAATAATTATTTCAAAAGTTGCTTTTCTTGTGAAGGATGAACTAAAAAATTTGTTATGAAATGCTCCAAGATATAAATTGATGAAGTCTTTACCTAAGGAATATGTTGAGGAACAATCTTTCAGACGAATATATGCATGTGCTGCCCCTGGGTTGACATAACAAGCATTACTAGAGTTGGAATTCGAGGGGCTTCGTGAGTCATCCTCCTGATGTTTTAATGTAACATTGTGGGACTAAACATGTAATCCAGTGCTATTCATTAATGATTCGAAAAATTTATAAAAATACTGTGTATAAACCAAAAATATCGCAGGAAAAGCATTGATTTTTGAAAGCTGTAATGCATAAAATGTTAAAAAAATCCTTTCGAAAATGCCAATCTCAAAACTGTTTTCAATAGTTTAAAAACAATTATGTCTCAAAAACATATCAAAAACATGCCATAGAACTATCAGTAAAGTGTCGACTCGCTGCATTTATCACCGACGGAAAACTACTGTCATCCACACTATTTTCAGATGCAACTGAAAATTAACAGTTATTACGGTTCAAGCCTTCCTAATTCTCAATTAATTAAGATATAAGATCAATATTTTAAGAAATTTAATCCAATAACTCTAAAGGGCAAATAATAATAGCTCCAATTAGAGCAAACAACTTTTCTAGTGAAAGAAGAAAAATTTAGTCGCAAACACTGAATATGAGTAATTTTTTAGGTTTTTAAATGAACCTGAATTTGGAAATTTTTTGAATTACATAAAAACAGAATCTCTTTCAGTCAAACTTGCTCAACTTTTCTTTTTAAGAGATAAGACAATAGAAGATTGGCTCTATAAATATTTACACCTCACAAATTAAACTAAACACTTTATTTAGAAGTAATAGCAAATGAACCAAAACAGTTTATTTAAAAGACAAAAATATACATTCATTAGTACCTGAGACTAAATGATGACTGTCAGTATCTTGTTTCTCGAGCTTACAAGCATAACACAATTTTGTAATCCACAAATTCATTTCCTCAATTAAATTAAAGAATGAAAATGGAAAACGAGAAATAACACAAAATTTTCAAGTTATATTTTATAAAATTAATCAAACTGATCAAATTTTGAATTACATCAACTAGTGTAGAAGTTAGAACTAACTGCTTCGCTATGAGCTGCCAAATAAATGACCTTTACTTTTCCACCATGTTTTGCTTTGTAATGAATGGCAAGAATCCAATTTTGGCTTCCAACTTTCAGAGAAATGTTTGTGTCTACCTGAACAATTTCAGTGAATAGCAATCAACTTAGTAGATGACATCATAAAATAATAGAAACAACTCAGAACCTTTTAGTTTAAAAACATCAAAAGCAAGAAATTCATAGTTTTTTAACAAGTCAGACTAAAAGTGCTCTAGTTCTATTTTTTGTTAATTTTCGTTAATCTTCAGTTTATGATTATTTTGTTAAAATGCGGTGCAAGAATGAAATTCAAAGAAGTCTACTTAATAAAATAAATGTATATATATAATAACATATGAAAACATATAAGTTAACCTGTAAAACACGACGTAAATCCAATACTTTTCGTACTTTCGACAAAGCAGTAGAGTTTTCATGCTGTTCTAATATAAATGCCTCTGGATCAGAAATTTCTGCATGTCGAAGAACGTAATAACGAAGCACCCATGTAGTCTGTAAAAAGTAAATATTCTGACACAATTAAAGTGCTCCTTCTACTTTAAATAAGCTACTTCATGACATTCTTCTCAGTAACGCTGCATAAAAAAACAAAGTAGCGTTTCACAAATGCAGTCACTGCACATTCACACAATGCAACTTTAAAGCAATAACGAAAACTTTTACTTTCTCATTACCAGAAAGGAAACTTGGAGTGCACCTCAATTCATTTAGTAAATGAGTAAAATAACGAGTCTATTTATGTCATCGCTATATAAATAGTTCCTTTTAGAAACAAAGTATGTCTTGTCTTGAACATATCTCAGATAAAAGAATTATGCAAATCTTGTATACCCTTGTTTTATTTTCATACTGCAAGAAAGCAAATATTGAGAACTAACAGAAAGTTTCTTGCCGGTAAGATTCCACGGAAATTCGCGTTCTTTCAATTTTTCAAGTACTCCTTGCATAAGAATAAATGATGGTAAATTTCTGCAATCGCTCACTGCATTCATAATTGCTTCGTTTTGTTGTTTTTACGTTATTTCTTTACTCATTGGAAGCATCTCAAACTAAAAGCTGAACAATAATAAAATTAGTTGAAACAAACAATGAGATTTCTGAGCATAATGACGCCGCATCATTTCTTAACACTACCATAAAAGGATCTACAAGCGACAAATAATCTGAGCAACATTTATAAGTTATCAGAATTTATTGAGGTAACACAATACATACTTAGCAAAGTAAAAAGAGGCATAGAGATTTGTTTTAAAGAAATAGATTTCATTTCCTCGAAAACACAATGAAAGTTAATGTTGTGCTAAGTTTTACCATATTCTGCAAGTAATCATCCGAGAATAATCTTAACGTCTTAGATTACTAATGCCAATAACTAATATACTGAACAACAAATTAAAAAATTCAAGTATTTCAACGACCGAAGGACGACATAGACTGCCAATTTTATTATTTTTGAAATCACATAAAAGCTCTCGATATTCTTACAAACTCGAAACAGAAACTGAAATAGCAATAACCATACAGTTATTATCAGTGTCAGTTATCTAAGTTAACTATTTTGGAACATGATGCAACAAAATATGTAATCACAAGCGTATCGCACGAATCTGCTTTGGAATGAATGGACAAAAAACGCGTCTACGACTTACAACTGCAAACTAACGTAATGGACAATGGACAATGTTCATTGCAGAATTAGAAATAAAGAATGTTACTTTACATAATTCGTAATTCGTTCTGTTGCTATACCTCTGCATCATGAGAAAATAAACTAGTCGGAGATACATTTTTTGTAGAACAGCGTGCTAAACGTAAACATCCCATAAATGTTACAGCTCAGAATACGAATGCCGCCTGATGGTCACACGTATAGATCGTAACTCAAACGCAAGATTTCTGCTTCTTTTCGATTTTTCAGGCAGTCTTCTTTTTTCATTTAAACTATTAAATTATTGAACTTGAACGTACTGCTTGTCTTTCGTTTTTTTTTTTAAAAAAATGATAGTTTCTAATTTTTGTTCTCGTTGTGCTCTGCAACTTCCTCAAACAGAACCAACTATTAACGAATGAGCTGACTATTCTCATTTTTTATTTTTTGTAATTTTAATAATCTATACAGTGTTGTGGTTTGATGTACGTTTCACGGAGAGTGCTTTGATGAAGTTTTGCGTAATTACTCGCAAAAGTTAAGAGTAGCTGTTGACAGTTTATTGTCCGAGGAGTGTAAGTGGTGCTTGGAACGGCTGGAAGTGTTCTTTCTTAGCTGCTCCGAGCAATCTTTGCCTACAACGACTAAGAAGCATGTATGGTTGCATGAGCCATACTACATATTTGCGGGGAATATATCTCGTCAATTTGCTTTAGACACACTATTGACGTGAACATCAGACACGCTGCTGACGTGAACCTGCTTCTGTAAGTGGGATTATCGTCGTATGTTCTGCGTTGTTTTAAAGCATGCTTGCTGTCATTGCTATTTGAGATTACATGTAAAACGATGAGAAATAACTTGATGCATATAACGTGTTAGACTTAGATTTCTTCATAAACTGTGTATGACTCATCAAGACTGTTGTCTGAGATAGAAAATAATTAATTATGCAAAGAAATGTAGCGCATTTATGTGTTTTCTTAATGAATATCAGGAAAGGTAAGCTTACTTATCGCTGAGAATACAGTAAAAAGTTGTGAGTAAAGAAGTATACGCAAGCAAAGGAGAAGCTGAATTTGTACTCAATTTGGTAGCAAACTTTTTTGAATTACTTTATGAAAGTTTGTATGCAATGCATTGGCAGACTAATACGTATTAAAGCTATTTAACTCCGTTACGTTGCGTCATTTTATGCAATAATTGGTTGAAATTGCTAAATGGAGGGAAAACGAGCGAAAGTGGATGTTGAGGAGATGTAAGTGAATTTAACGTGACAGCTTTCCCTTGCTTGTCTTGTCTGGTAAATGAAGTAGCAAAGTGCCCAAGTGAGGGATGTGAATTTAATTGTAGTTGACTTTCGGTCCTTCAGCACTTATTTCTCCGTTGCTTATTCGTACTATTAATGAGTAAACTAACTACTACTTCGCGTTCCTTCCTTCTTTCTTCTACTTTACAAATTATCGCAAGTGTACACACTTGCTTGAAAAACTAATGTATGCATGCCTTCACGCCTTTATTTTGCACGCAAACACACTCACTTTTTATGATCTGTTTCGTGTTGATGCATCGCAGCTAGCTATAAATTTATTCATTTTCCGCCTGTTCTTTCATTTCTGTCTGCTAAGCTTATCAAATTCGAATAAACTTGCGCGCAACCAATTTCTCTTAACATTTTTTGTTACCTTAACTTTTGGTACCTAACTTCTCTATTCTCATTGCTTTTTTACTTGTAAATAAATTTGATCGACGCCTGACTGAATTTATTGTCTCATTGCACCGTCTATTTTATAAGTGTGCATTTTTGTAGCAATGAATAAATAATAGAAATACCCAATTTCTTGTTAATGAAAGAGCAAATTGTGATAAAATTGCATTAAATTTGGCTCATTTGAGTAGAAATAAATTATGTCTTGTGCTGCTAGTATGTACGAATCGTATGCAAGTTTGAGAGCCGAGCAGTGACTTTGCGGGTGTGTGCTTTGTGTACTTTGCATTGCATTTAGTCATTCATTCATTCATTCATCTATTTGTTTATTTATTTAATTATTTGTTCATTTGATTTGATTTGATTTGATTTGATCTGATTTGATTTGATTTGGTCTGATTCACTTATTTATTTATTTATTTATGCATTTATTTATGCATTTATTTTCTATTCTTACAGCACATTTTTTCGCTTGCTTTTTCGTCATAATCGAAAGAGAACTGTCTTGTTGAGAAAGCTAAAATGTACCACAGAATATGAAACTGTTATTTAGAGAAGGAGTTCACGCAGCCTTGCATCTCAGCACGAGCACCATTTGGCAGTCTTTCCGAAAATCAATCATAGGGCTATATGCATTCAAAATTGGCTCAAATCAATTAGCATTCACTCACTTTTTTAGCCATCTGCCCTTCTTGTCTACCTATGCATATTTGTATGTTTACATATATATATGTAACCACAGATGTACTATATATATATATATATATATATAT